GTGTTAAATTGCGCGAATAAGACGGCATTCTTCACATCAGAAACATATCTTAAACAATACGTCGAAAAACTTGTAGAAAGTATAAAGGCGCAAGCTTTTATCCTGAATAAAAACCAGTGCCGCTACAAGTTAATTATATTCAGACGTATTCATATTATTTAAATTGCCAGACATGGAAACCGGTGTAATACCAGCCTGAGTTCAGATTCCCATGCCACGGACGTGCGGAAGCGAATTGATAGACTTATTCGTGCCGTTAGAGGCGCGAGGATTGCGCGTAAGACGCATTCTCCCGTATCTCTGCATCGTCGGGAATCGATCTCGATTCCCGACATTGTCGGGAAAAGTTACGCCGGTGTGCTAATCGCCGGCGTTCGAACACGAGCGCGAACGAGAAAAGCGGATAGACGTTGAATAACAGTCTCCGAGAGCAGAATGTCGTCGTCGGTGGGAATAAAAGTTGGAGCGTGTGCCCCGTTACGAGTTGCGAGACGGGATGGGGACCAGACGCGCATCGGGACCAGACATCAGGACGAGACACAAGAGACCGAGGTAAGGAAACAAGCGACAAGAGAGCGCCTAACGGGGGGGTTGGCTGCTTGGTCGGTCGGTCGGTCGGCCTGTTCGATAACTAAACTCGCCCCACTCTCTATCTCGCTCGTTTCTTCTTCCGTCTTTCGACATTAGCGAGGGTAGGCCGCGAGGGTAGTAAGACGAGGGGTAGTCGAGTCGTGCGTGCAGCCGGCACGCGCTCAACGAATTTTTCATCCAACGGATCCGCCAAGGTGCTTCCCCGGGCGCAATTGCGAAGAGGGAAAACTGGAATCCTCGGATGGCAACCATCCCCGAGGTGCCCGCTGTCACTATGCGCGTCTTATCGCCTAATCATAATCGTGGCGTTCTACGAACTGATTAAAACGAGCCACACATTGGCGAGACAAAAGGGTGGATGCCAAAGATTGAAACAAGACTGGTCCACTGACGTTCAACACGTATCGCCTCGCAATCACGATATCGGACGCATCTTGGGCCACGTCCTAAATCGTCCCACAGATTTAACAAACAGCGGTACCCGCGGAATTCGCGCTGAACTCGTACCCGAGGCCGATTTGTAATTCGGGCCCGCGACCGTTAAAGGTTGCGAGAGTGCCAACCTTCGCCTTCTCCGAAATATTGCGAGACCTGACTTACCGGCCCTACAGGATATGTTAATGGCTTGGGACCCCGGGGACCCAGAGGAACCCAAACCTCTTTCATTCTTCTCCCTCTTTCCTCGTCGGTCTTTCCCCCCCTTCTCCTCCGCACCTTTAGCTTTACCACGGCATAAAACTTCGGGGCATTTAAATATTAAATCTTGATAGGAAAGCCATTGGTCACAGAAGCGTCTCTCGCACCGTTCAATTCGCTCATCTGCGCCGACGGTTGCCGTCCCGTTTCTTTTAGTCTGTCTCCCTCATTAAGTACCTTTCGCTGAATATGATGGGAATATAATTCAATTTTTGATGCGCATACTGTATTAGCGATGCAGAAGAATCGATAATTATGTAACAATGTTGCTACAAACTACAGAGCGTTACGCCAGTTGATTCTATTGTGTCAAATTAAGTTGACTCTGAAAATAACAGTCAACACATCAGTGGACTTACCGCGGATCGTTGATGTATTTCTATCCACCGCGTTTATTTATTTCAGATACCTCGATGATACATCACTTAGCTTAACGCTAATTACAAGTAAAGTTACGAATTATTCCGCGCGAGCTCTGAAGGCGACAACCACGTGCGATGAAAACGTGTGTCGCTAATTGAAAACGACATAATTAAGTCTCTCCCTTACACGCTGATTACTATTCCGATTATCGCCGGCTTAGCCGACGGTGGATCGTATTATTCTTCGGGCTAAAAAGCACGCCAGCCGTCGAAGACGCACGTCCGCAGGTAATTACCTAATTTGCACGCGAGCGGCACGCTTCGTGCGTGTGTATGTCTGTCCACGGTGCCTAGCTATCGGGCGTACACGCGTCTCTCTCCGGGTACAGCTCTCCCGTTCAATACTAGAGCCGGCGTGTATATAGGGGTGCCCCGTTCGCCCCGACGTCGTTGTACCCCTCGCACAACGGACTTTCAAGGCAACGGACGAGAACGGAACGCGCCATGTGGCGGCGCAACACTTCCATGCCGCTGCACGACGGGCATTTGCCAACGGCGACGATAACGTCGTCGGCCGAGTTAGCGCGAAAGATCGTGGCCGGCTGCGCGAACGCCCCTGCCACGTCTCTTAATCCGACTACAGCTCGCGTAATGTTTGATCTGTTTCTCGACTGAGTCCCCCCTATTTAACATGCAAAACGCCGCTATATAGCGATTATCTCATCCGAATTATTCCGGCGGCCATATAGCTTCTTCATATGCAAATGAGGAGAAAAGTCTGATAGTGTATTCCATAGAAGTTCATACACTTACTATTGTTGCTCTGTTGTTACGATAAAATTATTATTAAGCAAGTGAATTTATACTCTTTCCTCGAACTTCCCACTTTCAGCGGAAGGTAAAGTGGCGTTTCAAAAACCAAATTTCTATTATAGTTAAATTTCTTCCTTTCCTTTAGTCTAGGGAGTAACATTAATAAATAATAAGAAATCTTGAACAAGACTAACGAATTGCTGCACCTTACGTGTAAAAAGGTTAGGAACAAGGCTAAAAAAAGCAAGTATCGCGATAGTAATCAAATTATTATCCTCCACTAAAAAAAAATTGTTAATCCGAAAAAATATTTAGTCCGGTACGTTCAACTAAACATTTTAATTAGTTTAATTTAACTAAACATTAGTTGAATTAATTAATTCTTGATTTAAAAAACTAAATAAATTGTTGAAACAACTAATGTTTAGTTAACTAATTTAGTTGAACGTATCGGACTAAATATTTTTTCGGATTAACAAATTCTTTTCAGTGTCTTGTCATTCCTGAGGAGACATTTATAAACGTTTATCGCAAACTCATTGTGCATTTGTAGATAGGCGTTTTTCCGTCTCGGGTCATCGAACGCGATCGTCGCATTAAGGGAATAAGATATGGAATCGGTCAGTCACCTTTAAAGCTAAACGTAGTGTTAAAGGGAGTCGGAAACACGGACCCTAGTCTTTCGCACGAGACAGCTGTATTCTTAACGGTCTCTCGATGTGTTGATGTCTAACGAGGGTAGGTCAGTATCGATGCACGCAGGCTGTATTTAAAGGTGTAGTGCAGTTTCATTGGACGTGTGTGTGTGTTTACTCGCGGATAATTAGCGCTATCCTTTTTACTTACTAATTTAAACGTCTTCATTAGTCGAGTTAAATTACAATTTTACCGCAACGACGAAACGAAAAAAGCAATTAAGGTTATTTGAGAACATTCTAATGTATATTAAATATGTAAATAAAGTTTTAAAATAAAATTCTAGTATGTAAATTGACAATTATTAATTATGTCAGCGATACATTAATTAAAAATATATATAAAGCGATCGATTGCAATTCTTTCAATTTTGAATTATTTTCTTAGCTTCCACTAAAAATAATATTAATAAATAAAATATGTCGTAATTAGTTATCAGTAATCGAGTAGGTTAACCGAGTTTCTCAGAAATGTCGGCCGCACAAGAGCCTGTTGCCCATATTGAAAATAAAAATATCAGATAAAGAATATCTTAAATGGGTTTTCAAAGGATAGACCTAAAAGTGTATCGTAGGATGTCTACGTTCGACCACACTTTCCCGTACACCGATAGTCATCGGACTAGGTATCTGACTATCGATATCCCAATCGCGCCTAAGTACCGTAAGCATCCCCAAAGCACGAGAGGGATGCCCGCTCTCCGTCTGCGCCCGCGCCCAGCCGTTCATTCGCGTTGCGAACTTCCACAGCGCCTTTACCGGGAGCATGAATAAAAGGGGGCGCCAAGCCTAACCAGCCACCCAACAAGGAGCAGGTGAGCACCTGGTCCCGGTAACCCCGGCACGAGCTACTACTTGCCTCACGGTTGCGAGAGAGGGTGCTCAACGATCGCGTCGCGCGCTTTAATTAACTCGACGTTGCGGTTATCGAAAAGTTAACAGCTATTTGAAAAAAAAAAAGATATTATTTTGCCGAGTTATGCCTACGCAAAATGCGACGTGTTTCATAATCGATAAGAGACGCGAATTGAATGAATGAAATGTCCAAATATATAATGCGCGACACAAACAGTGATATACCAATAATGATATAGGCATTGGAAATAGGTTTAGTGAAATTAGTAAGGTAAATGTGTGTCGAAGAAATATAATAAAATGTCAGCGTGCTGGAATCGCGCGAATGAGAGACACTGACAATTGAGGCTGCGAACTCGCGGTCGCGGGGTTCAGACCGGCGGCAGACGTTCACAAATCGTTGAAGGACGGGGAAATCCCTAACGAATAACCCGCCTTTCGGAAGGCCTCTCACGTTCCGCTCTATCAGTATCCGTTTTGCCCATGATTATAACCCACGGTATCCGCCCCGCTCGTTACGCTGATTACGAAAAAAAATCTACTAAAATTGTTAATTATGCCGATGTTTCTAGCGTTATTAGAATGGTCAATTATGAGTATTAGACGTTAATTTGTACTTCAGATTTAACATACGTTGTTCGAAAATATTATTTGCGATTTTCGAACTTTCATTATAATTATCTTAATTGAATACGCAACTTAATACTTAATATATCGTGCGTATAATTTTCCTTGTTCTTATATATCCTAGCAAGATTTTAAATAAATTACAATTTATCGACGCGAAAGATTGTCGCCTCCGTCAAGTTTCACAAGTCGTTTCATTGACCCAAACTTTTAAAAAGAGACTGGCGTAACTGCTCGCCAATTCAAAAGGACATATCGAAAGGTCGATATTTTTTTAAATAAAATCTAGCACATAATCTCATCCTCTTTATCTCGTGGACAATCCTTTCGTGTCGACCTGATACATACTTTCGTGACGTACCTTTTGAACGTGAAAAGTGACGTTTTTTCGATCCACCGGAGTCCAGTGATGATCTCGACAGATCGTTGGCGATGTTGGACATCGGCGACTCGATGTCCACGTTCGATGCCTCGCCGAGGGGTACTCCAGGAGAAGCTCCTCCGTCCATCCTGACCGTAGTTGGTCGGCGTTATTACTTTGCGTAGATGCGACAGCAGCTCGTCCTCGACGAGCCAGGTCCGGGAATGCAGACGAGAGTGCGCGATCTCTCGAAATTTATCGTCGAATCGACGTCAGGCGCGACGTTGGCTTCTAAAAAAAAAAAACAAGAAAACGTCCTGATTCTCTCAGTGATCTCTCACGGAACGACCGGTGTCTCGATCGTTCGGTTGTTCTAATGGAGAACGGATTCGCCGGTGTCGAAATTAGCCCTGTCGCCGAGAAAAAAAATTGGAGAATCGGCAGTCAGGTGTCGATAACGCGAATTTTTCGACAAGTTACAGGCGGGACTCGTTATTATTCGTACGTATGTATGTCTCTCGGTTTTACAGACGCGACAAATCGAGATCGCGCACGACGAACCGAGAATGGACAATGGCCCGCCAATTGGCGGGAACGAGATCGTCGTTATATGATTTCATCCGCGATAGTCCGTTGATACGTCGTGTATATACGGGGTGTCCGATTGTCACGTCGACGCTCGATCTTGCCTAGTCGCTTTTTGCGAGAGGGTTAACGGCAAGCGAGATAAAAATGTATACCGCGATTATACAATATATCGCGTGTTCAGAAATATTTATCCGTTCAATTCTAATTCGTTGAATTGTAATACACTGAGAAAAAAAAAGCTGTTGCTTCAATTAAAGTGCTATCACGGGGTGCCAAAAACATAAGTATAGTTTATTCAATTCTATTATTATTAGACCCAATATCTGGATTATTAAACCAATAATTTAATTATTGGTTTAATAACCCAGATATTGGGTCTAATAATAAAATAATTCAATTGAATAAACCACTTATGTTTTTGGCACCCCGTGATAGCACTTTAATTGAAGCAACAACTTTTTTTTCTCAGTGCAAGTAGAGAATTAGAATTGAAATGCTCGAATCGGCGTTGAAATAACGACGTCGTGATTGTCTTCGAGAAATACGAGACGAATGGTCATGATTTTCGAGAAGACATGATTCTCGATATACGAAAAGTAGCGCTTCTCTGACCGTTAATCGACTAAAAGACTCTTTGCGCGACCTTAAAATTTGTTTACCGTACTTTAACAACGTCGGGTTCTATCGTTTAGCTTCTATTATTATTCGCTCGAGACGACAGGATGCAGATATCCCGGGCAGGATGATAATACTACTGATATTGATAATGCGGTGATTGTGTGTGCAGTTAATTATCTATTTGCGTTTAATAATTCAAATTTTCATTACAATTTAATATTTAATTGTACTCTTTAATCGCGTATATATATATTCTCCTCCTTTTCATGTCTTAACGAAGCGATCATGCATTTCAACGTGTCTACGATCTATCATATGAAAAACCGGCTAGAGTAATTCGTTGCGACGGTTATGAGAATTATTTTGATTAAACGAAACGTGAACGCGAGAGATAGCAGGACAGAAATTCTCCTGCGGATAGAAACATATCTATCGCGCCTTCCTTTCTCGTCGAAGCCGTTGAAGTCGATCCGAGTCGTTACGTTTCCCGGAAACCCCGGTGGGATGAATATTTCTCGACGGCCTCGGCCACACACTAGGTGTGCCACAAAACACGACTTTAATCTTATTTGCGAAATTTGTATAAAACGGTTCGTCCGGTCGAGGGACCGGAAGACGAATGTCGAGTCTTACTTAAGAGATTGTTAAGAGATGTATGAGAAACCTTCGCTTCCTTATACGGGAAGCTTGGGATCGTAGGATTGAAAATCTCTCTCTCAAAAAAAAAATCTAGGCGAAAAAGTCCGTTGGCGCCTTTTTCAGCGGCAACGGCCGGCACGACGATCTTCAACGTCAAAATGCTCGGACGTGACGAAATCCGATCGAAAAGGAAACCACACGAATTCCCATTCGAGAAAGTAATTGTTATTCGTTGTACCTTGTTTTGTACCCTTGACACTGTTGTGGCCGAGTATCACGATCGAGAGAGTGATTCAACACGTGCTATGATGTGTTATTAATATATATCTATAGTAACATTATATATTATTATATATATATTAATAATGTTAATATGTTAATAAATATATTAATAAATTAATGCTACTATATTAATGCTACTATATGTTAATAATGTTATTAATAATACATTAATAAACACATTATTGTTACTACATATAGAATTACTTGTACATATATATTGCGATATATATATATTACCTGGGAAAAATAACGCCGTTGCCCCTAGGATGCCCTCGTCCTGGGGATGCCGGTAGTCCACCCTTTTAAAGCACGTCCTAACCGACGAAACGACACGCGCGACTTTCCCGTAAACACCAACTTGCCGCGCGGACAGGAGAGATATGATGGAACTCATGAAACGTGTCGCGCCTTGTCGAGGGGATCGAACCGACCGGGGGGATCCTCGCCGCCGCGGTCGACGAGCAACAGGAGCGTTGTCACTTGCCGCGTTTCCCTCTCATTTGATGCGCGATCACTTTCGGCGCGAAACCGACGGCGGGACTGGTCGCGACGACTGGTAGCGAGATAACACGACGGTCCCCGTGCGCGGTCGCACCGCGATTATTTAGCGACGACGTTACGGAGCGCGCACGCCAGCCGGCACTCCGAAAACCCCAGGGGACCGCCGGTCGTCTCCAATACGTTAGTCAAACAGTCAAAACACAATAAAGCCACACTTGACACACTGCCGCCAACGGCGAGATGGTCGAGATGCGCGAATCGTGGAGCTCCAGCTCGCGCGCGGGTGGACCGAGAAAAGGCGCGAAACGGGAGGAGGTGGCGGTGGGAGGTAGAAGGAGATGGGGGAGTGGAAGGAGACGGACGACGGTCTGTTCGTCGGTTACACTTTCTGTGCTCCGTTTTCTCCCGCCTCTTGCTCCGCAAATATGAATGTACTCCGGATGCTTTCTTTCAGATTACTTCGCATTTTGGAAATTTGGGAATAAACTCGTTTAATAGAATTTATCGATGATCCTCTGCGGACTGAAATTTCACCCAGATTTATTGTGATTAGAATTACAAGCCTTTTAAATAAATTCCAAGAAGAAACGCGCGTTTCTATGAATTTCTGGTGCGTTTTAATTGATTAATTTTATTCATTAATGTCAATTAACTAATTATTGTTTTTTTGATGAAAGAATATAACTAGAAGATTAAATTCAGCTTTCGCTATTTGATACATATATCTATACTTCTTATTATTTTCTTCTTGTTATCCTCAAGTTAAACAACATCTTGCTCTATTTAAAGTATTTATTGTATTATCGGTCACAAAAAAGTGTATATATTAATGTACATGATATAATACAATTATGTATGTATACATACGTGAGTGTCCGCAGTGTATTGATGTGCTCGGGTCCGTGGGTTTGCTAAATCCAAATAACTGTGCGGATCAGTTATCCATGCGGGAAATTAATCATCTTTTTCTATTGCAAAAAAAGAAGGCACAGCTAGTAGGAAGGTAGGAACACGTCTATCTTGGCTGATCTGGCAGGAATTAATTAATCAATTACAAATTAGTTATAGGAACTCTACTACAAATCAGACAGTTCTACCACCTAATGGCGCCAATTCGAAGATGGGTTTTAAAAGAAAGTTGTACTCACCGGGTAATACAGGGTTCTTCGTTTGTAAAAAAAAAAAAAGATTTTTGTATGCTTCATTAATTTTACAATAATAAAATAAATTAACAATTTAATATGTAAATCGAATATGACTACTATGATTTATTTAGTCTATGTAAATAAATTAAGACACGATCTTGTGTGTATGTACTATCTACCAAAAAAATACTGCATTAATTATAATTGATAACAATTAATGTAGTATTTTTCGACGAGAGAGATCGCATCAATGAAAATCGTAATTTATATACTAACGACACTGATCTGTCTATCAGCCATATATGCGGGAAAGCAAGTCTCGGAATCAAATTCTATGATAGGCAATTGCTCCAGAGTATCAAGTTATTTAGCACTTCTTTTTTTTGTGCCTTAATCAAATATTACAAAATCAGACATTATAGATATTATAAAAAAGCTCGAGTTGCTAAATAACTATGATTAGTCTTAATGTAAAGGATAATACACAAGGAACGGTTTTCTTTTTACTATCTTCAGCAAAGAAGAGGGGTTTGAAGGCAACGCAGTGACGTAGCCAAAGTGAATAGAGGCTCTTCTATAAAATTTAAAAAAATTTATTAGAGCTTGCCTAAGAGTTTCAGACAATCGTATAATACAATATATTAGAATGTCGCAATAGATGCCCCACCAATACGATATATAAATGAATTTGTCTCGCACAATTCTCTCTACGATGAGTATCTTCTGTTTGTTACGAAGCGACGCACGTACGTTTTTTTTCCCAGCGTGCGTAATACCTAATAACTTTATCAAGATTACCGTATAGGACGCGATCCCTTTGGAAGTTACATCTAATTAATAAAATTATTCGAAATACTGAAAATAGATCGTCCCCTTTTGTTTATCCTACTAGGCTCATTTCGAGCACATACCTTTTTTTTTATTAACATTTGTTCCTATAATCATCTAATAAGCGCATAGATTGTCGTCACCTGGACTTCTCTTGTTTCTCTGGTCAAAACGGTTTGCGAAGAAACTGGGATATATAAAATATATAATATATATCATGTGTACGTTTAACATTACATATCTAATCTGATCCTAGAATGCTATCGTCATTCAGCAATACTACGATACGTAAAAAAGTATTACGTATAACTAAAAGACATAATCTTCTATCTTATCAAACGATATAGGTTCTCACAACGGATTACGTCATATTCCTTCACTCACAATCTTTAATTTTCCACCAACCAACAAAACCAACAAAAAATATCGTTGCATCCATTTTGTAAATTATTAATTTAGATTAATTTAGATAAAAAATATAAAATCAACGTGAGACACAAAATTACCATTACGTTAGACTCAATATCAATGCAGAACAAACATGATACATACAAAAGTATAAAATAAAAGGGAAAACTTCCTTAAAAAGATCGACATTTCATTAAAATAAAAGCAATTAAAATAATTAAAATAAAATTTACATACAATAGCATTCTAGGATCAAGGCACGACAGGACAGAACCGTTTTCGAGATAAAATCTAAGTTGCGGAATGTGAATATATGATAGAAAACTGCATAATAAGGGAATACGATTAATGTTGCCCTGTATTCTCCGTCCAGGTATAAACTCCCGCACGGAGCCACACATCCCTTCTAATAAATCATAAACTTAATAAAGGAGTTTACTCAGGTATCTCGTACCGTGTCGTGTTTAAACGGCTAATCGTGGCATCACATGAAAACGCTATGCTAAAAGCGAGACGTTACGTTAATTTAAAAAATATCTTTCTCTTTACATAGTGTTCGGTTGTTTCATTCGATCACATGGTTAGGCCTTTGTAGAGTTTTCGGCGACGCGATATATCCGCTTTTCACCACGTTTACGACAAGATTTTTGGGCTTCGGCGGTAACGGGGGAGGTTTCGACAACTTCGTAGGCGAGACGTCCGTGCTCCCGTAGCTCCCCGAGTGCGGGCTCTTCAATGGGGAATCAGTACCGTTCTCGATGATCGTTTGATCGCCGTCGACCAGTGTCCTATCGCCGTCTAGAGTGAACGAGCTATCAAGGCACTTACTTAAAGGCTCGGTAATATTAACCAAGGCTGAGAATCGTTCGTTCGCGGCTCCGTTCGTCACGTGCGTGGGATACTCGTACCCGCTGCTGCTTTGCTTATCATCGCCAGAGTCGTAAAACTTGGTGGTGCCCTCGCAATTGGCCGACACTATCCGAGTCCTTCGCATCTTGTTAGAATCCGGTCGTTTCCCATTCTCCTTGTTCTAATAACCAATTTCACAGCTTTAAAAATCGAAACGTATGTATATGGTATACAGATCTTAAAAGTTTACATTTGTGCACACGTAAGATCTCTACTGCCATACTAAATCCCAATATAAGATTAAATATAATAAACTGAATAATTCATATGCAGTGCACATTTGACTATACCTTTAAAAAATCTGGTAATTCGAAGTTGATTTCCGTCCCTCTCTGATCCTCTAATCTCGATCTTTGCGCCCTTTTCAATCCCTCGTATAAATCTTTAACAAAAAAAAAAGAGTTGACTTAATGATTATTAAAAATTAAATAAATCCTTAATAGGCAAATTTTTGTTACTTTTTGACATTTCTAATTAATAATTTTTTAATTTATATCAAATAAACTGTTTAACATCTGAATACATAACTTACATATATGTATATAAAAAAAATATTACCATTCTTACCATCTCCGTCAAATCTGCCTGGAAGTTGCAATTTTACACCATTACGCAACTTGGCGATAAGTGGTGGCTGAGATTTAATGGGCGCTCCCTCATGTATGCAATCGTTTGTATTACTCTTTTCATTTGTGTTGCAACATTTAGATTTCGCCTTAACCAAGAAAATCAAAAATAAATCGCGTGTGTACATAAACCATTAAACTTCTTAATTGAAAAGTGTGAAAAGTCAAATAAATTACCTTCTTCTTCCCATGAATTGTCGAATCCCGAAGAAAGAATTTGCTAGATAATATGGAAGATCCTTCCGAACGTTGATCATCCGACTGTAAAAGATAATTCGATAAAAAAGATACAAAAGGAATATTAAAAATAATTTGTTGTATAATAGATTACATATATATAATAGGATATTTTTTAGACGTTATTGTGCTTACCTTACATGACCCTTCACTATATTGATATTTATTTCTACTTTTCCCAACCAGAAGTTCTTCAAATACTTTATTAGTAATTTCATCCAGAGTTGGCTGTGCGTGTGGCATTTCATCTAAATACTTGGCAGTATGCAACTCCCGTTGAAAATCTATAAAAGAATAACATTTTGTTAATAAAGTTTTGACTTTTTTTTAGCAATTTATTAAATGACACTTTATTTTAATTATATTACGATTTTTATATCAAAACATTTACCATGCAAAAGGTTTCCTTAACATAAAGTTATTTTAAAATACTGATGACAGATATGAATACTTTTTCCAAAAATATACATATTTTGTAAAAAATAATCTTTAATTTATAATTATATTGTGAGAACACACTAACCTTCTTCATTTGCGACTACAATAATGCGCGTAGGAGCATTGATAGCCATAATATCCATAGGAACGCCACGGCCTTCGCTCCAAATACTAATCAAGTCTAAATTGAAACCGTATTTATTTAGAAGAGGTCTCAAAACTTCTTTCAAAGTTTTACCCTTATGAGCGATAACGCTTATTATCCTTCGTGAGGGTAATTCTACTTTTAAAACTTTTGTAAGAACCACTTCCACTTCCTGGCCTGCTAATACTGATGAAAAACATTTCGTGTCCACCATCTGCAAATGAACAATATATAATATACTATAGAATCATTATGTAACAGATGGTCTATATTAAATTGCATTAATGCAATAATTCAACAAAAATATATAATGATTAAAATATGAATTATAGAGCAAATAACAGGATATTCTTTCATTAAAAAAAATTTTAAATATAATAAAAAAATTTTGTCTTTTCCTCCACCAAATTATGCCATATAAATAAAATAATAAATAAAAAATACATTACCGGTTAGATGTTTACTTCGTGCAAGTTAATATAAAATATTACAGAGAAAGATAAACTTTATTTATGCATTATAATGCAAAAGAAAGCAAAAGTGCATGCGTCAGATCAACAGTAATTTTCGTAATGCTTGCATTCAGTTAAACAGCACAAACCTCATCTGTTGCTAGTATCAGAACATCATAGTTAGAATATCGTAGAGCTCGCTTATCAAGGAGACGGGTAACCACGTCTTTAATGCTCTCGGTTTGACTGGTTGGCACTACAGTAGTGGACCCATCGGGCAATATGACTCGACATAAACCCGTACATTTGCCGCGATCTCTCTTTTCGTTTGTTTGCCCATCGCAAGACGATACAGACTACAAGTGAACACATATTCGCTCACGTATACATTCATTGACATGTACATTTTTACGTTTGCACTTTAGAATCTGTATGATTTGACAAAATGGCCTGATACTGTTTTGCAATACAAGTCTAAAAAAAAACTTGAAACAAAAAAAAAATTTATAGCAGTTTGAATTAAATCTGTTCTACAACAGCTCATCTTAGTGGATTAATGCAACATATGTACTACTCTTTCACCTGATTATTGTATAACAATAATAACTACTTTCTCAAAAAGTGTATTAAAAGCACACTCTACAAAATAGATTTACACACAACACTCGTTAAAATAACTCAAAACTGCAACTAAAGTTTATCACAAAAAAAATTGCACAAGTTTCATTTCAATACTAGCACATACAATTCATACTTTTAACTCAGTCAGTTATAAAAAAAATGGCAATCTTATCATCAAGATGTGTATTCAATGACTATTCCATATTTACTTAAAACATCATTATCCAATTGCTATATTAGTTGCAATGACACTTACGTGTTTATTAAACGACTGCCGGAACGCCAAATCCCACGACGCTAATGACGACCGACTACTGGATATTGACACAGTGTCCTCATTATTATTACCTTCTGCCTCTCTCTTAATAACTGTAAAGCTTTTATATATAGTCTCACTTCGGCTAGGGGCTTTGTTGTACTCGGACTCACCACGATCTTTCGATTTAGATCTGAAAATGTAAAATAAAATTGCAAAATTTTAATAAAACGAAATAAAAATATACTGCACCAACTGCGCGAGCAAACGTTGTCGCTTAACGATAGAAATAAAATCAGTAACTAATTTACCTATTTTTTCTGTTCCAGGGAAGAATCGATTTTCGACAACGATCTTCCGCATCGGAATGACTCTTCTTTAATTTTACGCTAGGCGAACTTGTAAGATGTAGATCACAGTCTTCTGTATTAACAACGGCGCTCCCCGCTTCCAAGCAGGCACGATAAAGTTCCGATCGTAGGAATCTCGGGTAACTGTCGAACTTCATTAGGTTGAATACTTGTTTCTGCGCCTAAGGCAATAACAGCAATTATTTGATTAAATATACAATAATAAAATTCACAGACATTCATTATAATGAAGTAGATAAAGAAAAAATATTTTGAGATTTAACAATGTAAAATTTATTTTTTATGAACTATCTTGCAATATTCGTTTTTTTTTTTTTTTTTTTTTTAAATTACAAGACAAGCTTTCGACGATATACATACCTGTAGAAATAAATCCGCGGGTGCTTCGTCGAGTAATTCTTGGGTAATTTGTCCCGACGCATGACTATCAACGTTTACTGGCTCGGCGGCTGTATTCGACAAATGGCGTTGATATATCTGACAAGCTAATCGACGGCGTAGAGCAGCGTCCTTAGTATCTTTATATCTCTCACAAGCAGCCCAAAAATATATATTTTCGTGACTAAACTCCTTCTTGAGAAATTCCTTGAATAAGATCAACCGCGTTCAGTAATAGTACGACATGTAACATTCAATAGACCAGAGAGGAATCGCGCATGCTACTCACAGCGAACGTTTGCAGGCCCTTTGGATCCTCCAACAGTTTCTCAAATCCATTTGCCCACGTGTGCACTCCTCTGCAGTCACTGTTCTTGTCACAGGATTCTGTACTACCATACTGCAATAGATGTGTCCCATTAATAAAATAAAATTGAAAAATAAATCAAAGAACATCGTTTTAAAACTGTCACTACAGACGAGCAAAAAATTCCGTCTAAATAAAAGAAAATTTCATCTTTTACTTCTTCACCTCATTTCAAATAAATCTTGTTATTAAAAATTTCTCTTGTGGTCTAATTAGCAAGATAATATACTTAATATAAAGAAAGTCGGCAAATTAATACACTTATTGTTAGATAATTCTTGCTTTTCTTTGAACCTACACATTTCTAAATCAACTATTATTAGATCATTAAACTAAAGAAAGATTCTTTTGATAATATAACAGAACGTAGAAATTGTGTTGAAATAAGTGGCATATTTAAAATAAGTAGGTATTAATTCCTAGCGTTCTATGGCAATTGCTGCTAGTTGGTCAACATTATTATTACGCACAATCGACGATTTCTATTCGCGATTTTATTTGTCCGTTGTATCGCGAAGTCGTCGAGAGAGATTCTAATATTTACTCCGGCACATTCCGAGCTGGAGCCTTTGCAGTTCCAGCACCTGTCGTGCACGCAACAGGTGCGCGCTATGAGAAAACGCTTTCTTGGATCGCTCGCCTCGCGTGCTCCGTTTTCCCCATTCCTTCCTACACACATGCAGAGCCAACGCGCAGTTTCATCTTCCCACGTACGATTTTTCTTAATTGACATTACTGGTGTAACTAGACGAGAGCGACTTAAATGACACCCCGGCAAGATATTCAGGAGGATAATACAACAAATAAACAATAATAGTCGCAACAGTCGTTCCGAGGAGGAAGTTAAAACGAATTCGTGCATCGGACAGTTTTAACAAAGACAAAACGTGAGTCGTCGCGCCAATGAGCTCACGAGCCCAAAGCCCGTGATTACCAATAATTAAGGAAATAAGGCGCGTTGGAGAGACCTTAATGAACAATCGACAAGCTAGCCTAGATTTAACTGAAAACAACGCAATATTATCGCACTCTTTACGGTCGATGGTTTTATCCCATGGATTTATCCATTTATCCCGTTGTTTCTACGGCGTATGAAACACCCATCGAGATGTACGTGCGATGCTGATTTATGTTCACTTTGACCTCTCCTATACGCTCACTTTATCACTTAATCGCCCGACCTACAGGGTGTCAAATTTAATGCAATCGAAGGACATCCTGCGTGAGACAGAGTTTGCTGTTTTCCTATCAACCGTTTAGTTAGTAATTGCGCCTCAAATCTTCTGCAAAATAAACTAAACGTTTTACAAATAAATGTTTTCTTAAATGAGCTTCCTGCCCCTATACCCAGTTATTCTACAATCTACCCAGTTGTCGCACCAATTACTTAACTATTTAACATTGAATACAAACTTACAACGATGACGAAAATTTTCCTAAACACATAGAGCGGCTTCAAATTTACCAAACGATGCGTCATCGAGGAATCGTCGCGGTGGCGGCGGCGACGAGACGTGCCGCGTACAAACAGCGTTCGCGACGCACGCCCGAGCACCCCGGGCGAACCTGGCCGTGCCCCTTTTTTTCTACGTACCGATTTCGCCAGCGCATCCATGTCACGCTTGCGGGCCGCGCGTTTTCGCATCGACGACGACGACGGCGGCGGCAGCGGCAACGTCATTTGTTAACCTGCCGGGACTCGCACGTACCGGGCGACGATCGCATACAATCGCATACTACAGCGTGGAACAGGTGAGAGAACGGACGACGACGGCGACGACGTCGGCGACGAGAGCTGACACGGGCGATTCACTTGTGTAACAACGGGGGCTCCGCCCAGCGCGGCGACCGACCGGGCATCGCCGAGCGACGGCGCGACTCGCGGATGACCGCTGTGTGCCTCCCGGCAGACGACGTTTACGTGACGTGACGTGACGTGACGGCGCCGCAGGATAATCCTACGAGCTGCTGACGACGGCGATAACGAGTACCCAGAACGACGTAATCATCCGCGACATCGTCGCGACCGCACGCACCGTGCGCCACACGGTTACTACGCGTTCGTCCCGGCGGCGGCGTGTTACAACGCCGAGGCGGCCGAAGCTGGGGCCACTTTACGCTCGAACAAGGCCCACTTCCCTCGCCTATATTTCTCTCTCTTTCTGCCGCTCCTTTTCTCCCTCGTTCCCTCGAGGTCCCTTCACCTCTCCCTCGACGCTGCTCCCGACTGATTCATTCTCATCGTCGTCGTCGCTCACCCCGCGCCTCTTCCGCTCCCATCGCTATACCACTACTACTACAACGGGCCCGCGTCACACGGCCTTTCCCCTCTCTGCCTCCACCGACGAACTCTATCGTTCAACCTCGTTTTAACATCTATGCAGGGCCGCACGCAGGGAGCCGGTCGGAAGGATTTGTGAATGCAGTAGCGGAGTGGTGTGTTGGATAAATGAGCTGTGTAAGGAATACGAATTGATTAAGATCTGAGGATCAAGGCGTAGAATGGAGTTACCTTCTCGCGATGTTAATAGGTGTAATTTTGCACGATTAACAGCTTCGTTAAAATAAAATGTTAAATAAAACCCTTACCTTGGGGATAAGAGATATAACGTTCCTCCAATTCTTCAATAGAATCAATACAATTAATTTATATATAAGCTGTCAGCTTGGGTTCGCTATACAAACAGTATAATTCAATGATAATGAGATAAATAATATTTAAAATAGTTTTCGATGATATATGTATATGACTATAATATTAATAAAAGTTGTCTGTAACAGATATTGTGAGAAAGATTGGCAAATTCTAAGCGTAAGGAACAAACAGGTTCTATACGGCCCCCGACCCTGCATCTATCATCGTAAGATCTATTCATGCACCTAAAGGAGGTGCATCAACCTCAGTTTGCGGGAACGTTCTTTTTAACGTTACTCTAGACGTTGTTGGTTGCAACGTAGCTATTTTCAGCACGCAGATTTAAGTTTAGCAACTCAATCCTCTTCAATCCATTATGCTAACTTATGTTATTCTGCGAATTGTAATGTTTTAGCTTGTTGCTGTCTACAGATATTCTAGATTAAATATTCTCATCTATCATTTTACAAAATCACCAATAATCGTAAGAAATCACTAAATTATAATTTCCATTTTTTTAACTTTTCTGTTAACTTCGAAATAATTTTAATTTAGACAAGGATATTCAACATTCCAAATTATAAGAAAAAGAATTAATCATTACCGAATTAATTTTTACTACGAGGTGATTACTTTGAATCCGTCGGAGGATTTTTCGAAAGAGAGGAAATACACGATCACCGAGATAGCCTGTGCAAATTTGTACTACGCGAACCAGATTCGACGAACAGTATCTATTGCATCAGTTTGTAATCCCATTCCTAGAAGCGACGGATACGCTTGTATATACCAAATAAAGTAATCGCATGCGTGTGGCGTGTGGTAAGTAAAACGCGGGAACGCGTTTCGCAGAGAACCGCCGATCTGGTTTCTGGTTGTTTCGTTTTCACTTGACCCCTTGCCTGTGCGTGCACGAGCGCAAATCAGAGGCGGGCAGGAAACGATGACGCAGCCGTGAATAACGAGTAGACGAGAGGGACCGGAAATCGTTCGCGACGACAAATCCTACGGGAGCGTTAATGTTAGTTGTTACTGATGCATATGTTTTCGGAAGTAATCAGAACTCGTGAGAAACGAGGGGGAAAGATACGATCTCGCGCACATTTCGCTAATTGACGTGAAAAGATACATTGACCCTCGGTATTATAATGATAAATTAAAATAACTTTATACACGGTATTTTCAAGGAATGCGATTTAGATTTAAGAATGTAATGCAATTATAAAATCGATAAAACTTCTTCAAACTCGAAATAGAAAAGCAACGTATTATAGATCGTATAATTCAAAATAAATAAATAAATGCATTTCAAAAAATGGATTCTAAATATTTAACTGGATACATGTTCAGAATTCACTTCTCGTTTTTCACCAAATGAGAATAAAAGATTTCGACGGCATGCAGGAATTAGAAAATATTGACTATTACAAAACAATTTGCGAAAGTGTCAGGAAACGCAAATTGCTTCTGAGAGACAGATTTATGTACATCGGCGAAACGGATGGAACAAATTTTCTGAGAACTACGACAGATTGAATTAAACGAAAAAAAAATATCTCACTATGCACTTGTCCGAGACGCTGCTGCGAAAATTCCGTATCTCCTGCAGACTCCCCCAAGGACGTGGCTTGTCGGACTTGCCGGAATACGAATGACAGTAGGGCGGCCGCGCGTACTCCATGCTGGAATTGATGTCCTCCAAGCTGTGCACCAGCGACTTGGTGACCTGGCCGCAGTACACCTTCGGGCTGAGCTTGTTCGTGGTGTCCATGAGACGTTTCAGTCCCTCCGTCGACGCGACCTTAGACGACTCCGCGGCGTCCTCGATGCCGTCGAGCAGCGCCGTGGTACAAACGGACGCGAGGGATCCAACGGACGTACTGGCCAACATGGTGCGTGCCGTCGCAGCAGGGGCAGATGTTCCGGCGCAGGTGGTGGTCGTACCCTCCCCACTCCCCGCCACGTGCCGCATCTCTGTGAAAAGCACATTTCGTATAGTTCCCCACCATCGCTGCTACATTCACGCTTATTCAGTTTCAAAGTTGAACGAATTCTGCCATCAATTGTCATTTCGGACAGATCCGGAAAAAAGAAAAAAAAAGAAAGGAGAAAGAAGAAGAAAGGAATTCCAAAAATTATAGCGGAAGCCGCGATTTTTGTCGCACAATGTTTCGAACTGCCATGCCGAGTTACCTTTAGAAGGGTCGAATTTTAGTTCTTCGTTCCACAATCTGGCCTCCGAGGTCGCGCGAACTGTCAATCGGTGTCCCGCAGCCTCATTGACAGGTTCTCTGGATAATCGCCCGCTTACATTCTGCAAATAAATTAATCGTGAGCCAGGAATGACGATAGAATGCTACATCACAGAATGAATCGAGCAAATGACAAACTTTTAATATTTATTTATTTTAAAACTTATCATGTATAAAATATGATAAATTATATTTCTAAGTTATTAAAAGTTTAACAAATATCTGGAATTTCAAGATACAAAGTTACATTAAAGTTATAAATAAAATTTGGTCGGACAAAACTTGTATTTTCATATTTCTGCTCCCCTTTCCCTCCTATTTAACTTAATTTGAAGATATTTACAGCGTCGCTCAGATGGTAAATTAATAAAATTTAGATACCGAATTTATAAGGTAGAGAGAGATAGCATCAACAGAATATAATAGACTAATTTATAGAAAGTACCCTATATTGCATATTGGAGTATTGCCTTCTTCGTTCGCAGTCGTTCGTGTTTTTACCCGAGCAGCTGCCGTAATCATCCTTAAAACCAATTCCGGAATCGCTGTTGCTCGAATGAGCGGTCGACGTGCTAATGTTGCTCGGTTGAGGAGAAGCGGCGTCCAAGCGTATGCGTGCCTCGTTGTAAGGACTCGTCTCCCTATTCGTGCAATCGGATATATACAGTGTCTGTATGGCACCGATGAGGCTCGTACAACTATCGGGGAACTCCTGGCAGACGTTTAACTCTGACGACTTTGTACACATAAATCCGAACACGTTACACGCATTGGAGTGCACCTCGTGGTCGATCAACTTGTAATAAATAGTGAAAACGTGGCACGAGTTTGAGACAATATCGTCCGTGTTCTTCATGGACTTGGTTAATATTCCGAAATACTGCTTGTCCTGCTCGGAAAAGGAGTTGCAGAATATTATCCGATACGAAGGGTACTCGGCGATAACGCGATTCTCCGAATTGGTGAGCTTAATGTTGGCAACGTGAATGGTGAGAAGAACGGTAGTTGGATTCCGCTTCTCGGCCTTCAGTCTTTTAATGCATTTTCTCAAAACCTGCAATAAGAATAAAGTTTATATTGAATTTTGCCATTACTTCTGTATTATATGTATTCTATACGGTATAAAATAAATCTCAGAGCAATTCCACATGTTTCTTACATCAATTTACTACAATTAAATTGCACAATAAAATTTACAACCGATGAAGCATTATAATCAGCAAAGTATTATTCATTCTGAGCGTGTCGGGGATGTACCTGCATCATAGAGGACGGATGCAACTGGTTCGGTATGTCGATAGTACCGAGATAACCGACGACCGTTCGGTGCACGATCTTCTCGGAGTCGCGCTTGTGAGAGACCGGCGGTGGCGGTGGCGGGAGCGGGCTCGTCATGTTCCAGCGATAATGCGGGCCGGAATAATTGTACTGACTTTTAGCTGACTCGGGTGCTGCTGGCGCCACCAGGTCGGCCACCGCGTTGAACATCGCGCCGCTCTGCAGATCCCTGACCACCTTCGCCGCCCTGCATTGCAACTGCAAAGCACTCGCGTTAGCGGCCCGCGGCTTGTGCGCGTACTTGGGCTTGGATCTTACGGTGGCCAGGCCCTCCTCGTCCGAGGAGTCGGAGTAATAGTTCTCGGCGATTTGCAGCCGCAGAATGCCCTTGGAGCTGCCGATCAGCTGCACCACGTCGTCGTGCGGCACCTTGCTGACGTTGTGGCCGTTGACGGCGACGAGATAGTCGCCGGCACGCAGCCCGGCACCCTCCGCCGGGCTGCCCTGCACGATGCAGCTCAGGATGCACGGCTGCTGGCCGGATATCGTGAAGCCGAAGCCCTTCGCGCCGCGGACCACCTCGACCGCCCTCACCCCGTAGTTCACCCGTTTCTTCTTCCGCCGGTTCTGATGCATGTCTGCCTGCCTGGGGCTCGGCGACGTCACGAGGGGTCCCCGGGGAGGCGCGCGCGTTCACCACCGTTGCCGAGGAGCACGTTGTGGCTCGTCGACTCCATAATTCGCGGCCTCACGCCTCCACGTCGGCGAGCATCCTCCTCCGTCGCGTTCCTTCGGGACTTCACTTCTCGGTACAGCTTGTATAAACTTCCTCTAGGAGATTGGAAGCATTTCTTCCTCTTTCAGCGAAGGAGAAGAAGAAGAAGAAGAAGCTTCCGGAAGAAGATAATGCTCCGGGACAGCCTCTGGGTGCTCCCAACTACTCCTGTCACTCCTGTGGAACTATTATTCCTTGGCTTAGCGCTTGGAACCCCGCTGGTACGCCCACTCCTACTCACGGAAATCATTCGTGGATCGCTCTCGCCGATCCGGAGCACCGATGGAAGTCGATCCCGCGAATCGGGAACCCCGGCCGCTCCGCGTCGCTCGTCGGCCGAACCTCGCTAACGGCGAGCTCTAGCTTCTTCTTCTTCTTCTTCTTCAATTATTGGCACCTGTTTCCTTTCGGAGGACAATACGACCAGCTTCCAGTGACAGCAAGCGAGCGGAGCAGAGTGGAGTAGTGGAGCTCTACGCGAACGGATGTTTTGGAATGCGTCCATCGAGGAGGCTAGAGAAGGTGATCGACCTTGTGGCAAATACGTTTAGCTCGAAGGTGGCTCGAAGTCAGATCGTAAGGCGCGCTGAGGCGTCGTCGAGAAGAGTGATTGGCTGTTGACGAAGAAATTCTGGATATTCACGTTTCCCGGCGGCCTATCCACGTCCGACGTTTCGAGTCTGTTCGTTCTACTTTCAGCAATCTGCTCGCGCTTCAATGAAATGATAAATAATTAATAAATTAGTTTCGTTGCAACGCGATAAAAATATTAGCTTTATCGATTACGTAATAAGCTCACCGGTTTCAGCATAAAAATGCAGAAGCGCTCAAAACATTCTTTTGAAGAATATTTCGCGACTTTGATTTTCGAGTTGCTCGATTTAAAAGAAAAATTTATTAATAAATTACTTTTTTTCAATTTTGACATGTTATCTTGTCTCTACGATATCCTGCTGTTAACTATGATTATCATTAATCCGTGGGATTAATAATAAAAGCGCGAAAGAGACTCAAAAATTTTCGCAAAGATTAATTAAAAGTAAAACAATGAAATTCAACATTCTGTTAAAGTTTATTTTGAGATCGACTAGAAAGCACCACGATCTATTTCCTGTTCCTCTCCTGAAATTTTGCCAGAATCGCCTCTCCGATCGCGAATTGCTCGAAAATCTCAATCTCTCGTTCCAAGCACAAGTACATCAATATTCTCTTTCAAGAATCATTGTCGAATCTCGATTAACAAGAGATCCCCTTTCCCTTTTAAGCTCATACAAATCTAGAGGACGAATTCGTGGAGAATATACTCGCGATCGACGGTTTCAAAATAAGAGCCTTCGTTCCAACCGATATTCTACTGTTTATCGCGATCGGCAGATCGCAGATCTCTCTCGTTATCGACTCATTTCATTTCTTTCTTTTCTTTCATCGCTGTCCGCAGAGAAGCTAATTCGAGTCACGTGTACTGGGTGTATTAGAAACCTAAAATCAATAAAAAGAAGTGCGTTTATTGCAAATATTGTATCGTTTTTCTCGAGTCACGCGGAAAGTCACTGGCTGGCGGATAATCGGCGGCCGATAACGAGCGGTTACATAAATCGCTATCATCGGCGAGGACGACGAGAGGGGTAATCGTGACTCCAGCACATTCCACCGGCTAGTTCGTCTTCCGTACGTTTTGCCTGAATTGTGTACCGGCGAGCGCGCGTACCGGTCATGTCCGTGTGCCTTCTCGTCCCGAGTAATGTCGCAGACTATCGCGATTAATCTTACGATTAGTTGTGATTAGTTGATCGCAATTTACAACGCGCGCGCGCGTGCGACGCAGCCGGTTTACGCGGCCGGGAATCGAGGCCACGCGAGAGCGAGACGAGGTTCCCGTCACTCGCTCGCGAATCGTTGGCAAAATGGTGCTACGTCACGAAATCCGCGCCGCGATCCTATGTTTGGGTACTGAATTGGACCGATTGGACGTTCCAATTCCGCTCGACGTCGCGTCGTCGCCTCGATTCCCGCTCGCATCCCGGCGAAGATGCATTTGATGGCGCAGTGGACCACGTTTACGCGCGTTACTGCGTGTAAACATTGCCCACTGTGTCACCAAGTGTCCTCGATTCCTCGTTGACGATGGTTGATAAACTAATGGATGAATGGATTTTGCAGGAATCGCATCAGTGGTGGGAACACGTCTACTGTCATCCATGGCTCAGGCTCTGCAGACCCACGAAGTTATTCCAGATGTGGTGGACAAGGTGCCCGCCAGCGTCCTGAACGTTACCTATCCCAATAATCTTGGTGTTGAGATTGGCAAGGTGCTCACTCCGACACTGGTCAAGGATCAGCCCACTGTTCAGTGGGACGGAGAGGCAAATGCGTTCTACACCTTGTGCATGACTGGTCCGTAACTCATATGTTTTTCATCAAAGACTTCAGAGCGAGAGGGTGATCTACAATTTTTTTTCATTTTTTTAATAAGATTTGCTTTAACGCTACAATCATACCTGAGTTATGATGTTGTGTAAGTTATTTATGCTTGAAATATCTTTCTTTATGTTTGTAAACATTCAAAAGTCTGGAAAACTTTTGATTTTGATCTCTGATTTCTTTCCATAAGTTATAATACTTATAAGTAATGAAAGAGGTTTGTGATTATTTGTTATTTTAAGGGAATTATGAAGGAAAGAAGTTATTCTGACAGAAATAACGTATTTAAAGTAGTTCTCGTTCAACTCTCGCTCTGAGTTCTTCACCGGTAAATTTATAATTTGATAAGTTGTTCAGCTCTGTGCTCTATCTACCCTGTTCTCGTATTTAAACAGATCCCGATGCTCCAAGCAGACAGAATCCTAAATTCCGCGAATGGCATCACTGGCTAGTAGGCAATATTCCTGGATCGGATGTGTCTAAAGGAGAGACTCTGTCTCAGTACATCGGTTCCGGACCTCCGCAGGGTACAGGCCTTCACCGATACGTATTTTTGTTGTACAAACAACCTGGCAAGCTCACTTTCGACGAGAAACGCTTGACCAATCGAAGCGGTGACAACCGCGGCAAGTTCTCCATCAGGAAATTCGCTGCCAAATACAAACTCGGCGATCCGATTGCCGGTAACATGTATCAGGCGGAGTACGACGACTACGTGCCGATTCTCTATAAGCAACTCGAGGGTTGATTTTTTACAATGCATACAATAACATTTACGATGGTACACATGTTTACGCCTAGCGATGTATATCCAACTATTTGTTGAATAAATACGCATGATACTGTTCCACTGTATTATAGTGTTTGGCCTGTATCTGTTGTAATTAAGAAAATAATAAATAGATTTCTTATCTCCAATCAAGTGTAATTTACTTATAAATTCAAGATCAAATCTGTCATAAACTTTTCAGATCACGCGCTAATTTTATTATTTATTATATGAGGTAGAAAATTTATTAACACCTGCGATATTTCTCTTACTAATTTAAATCCTCAGTGTCTAACGTATTCTAAATAATTACCTACACGTCTAATATAATGTCTAATATATAAAAGTATTTTACATAATACTAAAATAAGAAAATAAACGGAAGATACTAAAAAATATTTAGTATTTAGAGCTTCTATACCAACGTTAAAAATATGATATGAAAGTTACTTTAAATCTTCTCGAAGAAAACTCGCGTTCAAATTTTTTCCTGTTTACGTCTTGTTATATGTTCATATCTTCGTACATATTGTATGAACTAATCTTGATCTGTGATATAACAAATTTTCTCAGGAAAAATCTTGACCACATAAACGCTGTATATGTTAGCAATAAACACACGGATACTGGAGAAAGGCAGGAACGGCCTTCTAACACACAAGTTGGTGGGGATACGTCTAGCAATAAAACGGTCTGTCTCTTACCGGTTTTCTTAATATCACTGTTGCAGCTTGCTGGAAACAGTGTCACCGAAAATGAAGTATTTGGTATCAGGTTCGTCTCGATTCTGTTGCTTTATATTAATTTTAGAGAAACTCGCGATGTTTGATAAGAATCATCTTAGCGTTTCAGTGAGTAATATTTGGTGATTTTTATATGTATCTTCAGGAATTCTTCTCTGTGTCGTTGGTTTTTCGTTAGGCGATGTGGAATCGGAATTCAAGAAGGCGAAAATCGAACCCGACATCATAGACAAAGCACCAATCGAGAAGATCGAGGTATGTATTAGCGAGAATGGATATTTGCAAAACAAAAATTTAACTGACTAAGTTATTTATTATTTTATTTTATAATTTAGTAACTTAGTTAATTTAATTATTCATTTTATTACTTTATTATTTATTAACTGCAAATTTATTCACATATTTTAAAACTGGGCATTTAAAGTTAAGTGGCTAAGATTAAAAACTTATCTTGAAATCGTAATCAACTCTTCATGATCAAATTTAGAGATTTCTAATGTATCATTTAAATTTTTCTGACATTTTTATTATATAACTAAGATGTTAACGTATTTCTTATAGTATTTCTTACACCAAGACTTTTTTCTAAATGCTTACGAATATGGATTCGTTATCGATATGAGTGGACTAATAGATTAATCGTTCTATCTTACAGCATAATATGTATCTATCTGAAAATGACTTTATATCACGTAGGTAAAATACGGCAACAAGGTAGTCGATTTGGGAACCGAACTGACGCCGACTGAAACTCATGAAATACCAGAAATACACTATAAACACGAAGGCGGAGTTCTATACACGCTCGTCTTAACGGGTGAGACTTGAAACGTTTGAATTAATTGATTGTAAAAGTATTCAAATGCACTTGCAAGGATAGATTCCAAGGTAAAAAATTAAAAGCAATTCAAATGAGAGATCGCCTTGCTTTCTTGCTGCGAGGGGGTTTCGTAAACCGCGAGACAGACAAATAAGCATAAAGACGCGCTATCCTCGATGACTTCAACTTTCACCGTTCTCGGAAACCAGTTTTCTCCACCGCCATTACTTGGCGACGCGCAGATTGTCTGGCATGTTAATTGTCAAGCTAAGACTTATGTAAAATATGCAGGACGTTTGTGCCGTTTGAGAATCGTTGCAATACGCAAACATTTAAGAATCATGTTACTAGTGTGTCTCTGACTTGTATGTTTCCAATCATTTCGTTATTTTGGTAAATATATATTTTTTTTAAATAAAATTCTTGCATATCTTAGCGGACGTGTCTTATTATAGATCCTGATGTACCGAGGAGGGGAGGATACAATCGAGAATTCCGACACTGGCTCGTTGGGAATATACCGGAAGAGAACATAGCTAAAGGCGAAGTCCTGGCGGAATACGTCGGTCCTGCGCCGCCGAAAAACACTGGCAAACACCGCTACGTGTTTCTCATTTATAAACAAAATCAGGGCGCAATCACCTTCGACGAAAGAAGATTGAGCACTTGGTGAGCGAATGCGTTGACGGCGTAACATGGATCGTGCAGCCGGATATTTGATAGCACGTTTTATCATCTGATTATAGGGACGGAAGTCAACGAAAGAGGTTCTCCATAAAGAAGTTTGCGGAAAAATACAACTTGGAGGGCCCGATCGCTGGTAACTTTATGGTGGCGGAATACGATGACAATGTGCCCGGTTATCATAAGCGTTTGAATCTTTAATTAACCAGTATATACGCATTAAATCTTTTTAGAACTAAATACAAACATAAATTTTATATCTAATTTTAAAAATCTTGCATTACTACTCGCATATGTATATTCTATTGGAATTATATTATACGAAGAGCAAATTTATGTCATTATTTGATACAAGAAAGTCATAAATAAAATTATAATTATTTATATCTAATTTTTATGAAATCTTTTGGCAAATCATATTTTTTATGCATTTCTGAAAAAATATAATTAAAGACAGCAGAAGTAAATGAAATAATTACTTACCAGCAGATAGAGACCGCTTTCAACAGATTCTATTTATTTTCGTTGCTGTTGTTTTATTGTTATAAATATAAAAGGTACATGAGACATTCATTACGTTCGTATCCCCGAGGTCGTTACATGACGTTACTACGCCTTTGAGGGCGTATCACTAGTAGTACGTGTGAATTCTTAATTTTTACGAGCTTACTCTCTACGATCGATTATTAAATACCTGCGGCTTATGTTATACACATTGACTAGAATATGATGAGCGCAATTCGTAATTGAGATTACGAACCTGATAAACGCCCCTTGTCGAGCGTAATATCTTAAAAAGAGCAGAAGCTAAACCGCGGGAAGCAGAAAGTTAATTCCATCATTACAGAAGTACAGGGTGCAGCCTTCCTTCCTCTATATATATATATATATCGCCTTTAAAGCAACATGGAAATTAAATACGTACATGTTGCCATTTTCGCTGGCCATTTCTCGTAGGTCTTTAGAATATTGATAATGTATGTTTCAATCTAATCGAGCACCCGTCTCTCATACTCCCGCATAGTCCTTGAGAATACTCGTCCTTCGAGCGAGTGCGCAGCGCGTCGCTTCAAAACGTAATTGAAGAAACGCGACGTCTTATATTACCAACGCTTTTATCACACTATATTGATGGACAGCGCAACAAATAAATGGAATAAATAAATCTTTCTATAAATTTTCTCGTCAATATTATAATAACGCGCTTCAATCGAATACCTTTTTTCGCGAAATATATTTTTCACTAATTCACTTGCGGCTCCTGCTCAATGCTTTCGGTGTTTTCACTGTTTTATATCAATATAATACACATAATTTTGGTTAACTAAATATATCACAAAAAGCTGCATTTTTTTTCAGAATAGCACCAATCTGAGCTCACTGTCGAGTCGACCGATGTCTTCTCTCGTCTACTGCATATACAATATTACGTTTTGTCTCGAAGAAACGTCTACAAGTCATTTCTATATGCACAAGAAATCTCCCGTTCGTGGCAGTGACAGCGGTCTTACAATCGCCTTTAATCATGACTGGCAGCGACGGTAATACGTTCAGCGCAATTCGAAACCGATTCGTAGAACGATGAGGGATTCTCCTGTAATCCATCATCCTATTAGACATCCTTAAACATTCCATTACAACAATATCGTCGAATGGAATATCCTTGGATTACCGTGATAGAATAGCCGCGATAGATACCCTGACTATTATTCACTAATCGGCGCTTCGTATCACGATCGTATTGGAACCAATCATAATCAATATCGTTTGTAGTTCTCAAGGCAAGACCAGATCTGGATATATGGTTATGTTCCAGCAAAGCTGATGATCCCGAACGTCTCCCCATCCGCCATTGCCCTTTCGGAGTTTCGTCTTCTTCGCCGTTCCGGCGATCGTTAACGTTAATTGCGAGGGGAAGAGATGATTGCGCGCCGCATTCAAGACGTTCTGGACCTTCGCTATCACCGCCGTTGATTCACAGTTATTCTTCTTGTGATGCACCCCACTGTAAAAGAAAACATCGAATTAGCGGCAATAATCTTAATATCGCGTTAGGGCTCGCAAATTAAGGTTTAATGAAGGAAGATGCGTGGAGGATGTTGCCACGAGCTTAATTCTCATTTATGATGAGATAAGCGAAGAGCTGATACTCACCATTCTCCGATATGGAAGACTCTCGGAGCCCTCATCGTCATCGTGATCAATCCGGATTCAGCGCGAGGCGCTATCCCGGCGCCCCGACTGGACGGTACGCACGTTTGCGCGATATACTGCAGACTCCAGTCCCAGTTGTAGTCGTCGTACGAGCAAAACTGGGCCGCGCATTTTCGCAGCTTGTTCCACGTGACGCGATTGAACGCCATGCCCATGTTGTGCTTGCTGGATATCCACGGAGTCACTTCCGCCTGTCCCAACAGAACGAAGATCATCGTTATCGAGCACCGATGGAAAAGAAAACTTCGCGATTTCTTTTTCTTCGTGTCTCTTACATCACATAAAATCTACTGATGAGGGAATTCTAATCCAGACTACGTGTCTATAACTAAAGCGAACAGTTGAAACAAAGTCAGAATTTCAGTCGCAAATGTCTCTTGCTACATTCCACTGGACTTGAGGATCCAGAATTGCCGGTTATTCTTGTCAAAGGGACAGCTTGTGACTTCAGCCATGCATGCGAAGATACTTCGTACGCTCACGGTAACAACCGGGCCGATTGTATTATGACTTTGTATCGTGCATGTAACGGTGATGGATGCTCGGAGCGTGCACTATTCTGCTTGGAGGAAATGGAAATTCGTCTACAGGGGCGTTCCACCTATTGCATTTGGCATGGTAAGAACATGCTAGTGTTGAATATTGAATGGATATGTTACGTTCATGAAGTTCGGATAAAATTCGCTACTTTCTACAGACAAAAGGGCGCTTTTTCCGGTCCTCTAATTCAACGTCAAGCAGCCGGAGCCACTAATCGATCGCCAGGCAATGCGTCCTTTGCTGGTTGGATCGATGCGAACTGGTGGAAGCGAGCCGTGCAAAATTTGGCAATGTACAAAGTTTACCGAGGGGGAAGATGGAGGGAGGCTGACTACTTGCACTTTCCTAATACGGCGGAAGGCGAAGCAAAAGAAAGAAAAGGGAGAGATGGTGCGAGGCCAGGCGAGTAGAAAGAACCAAAGTATGACGAGCAGGCGGTTGGTTGCTGTTACTCGGGCGGGATTCGTGGGTTCGGAGAACCTTCTGATAATGGTTGTAGAGGCTGGGCAGAAGTTGGAAGGCCCACCCGGGCGCCGCTTGCATCGTGCGCGCGTTCTGATAGTAGGTAGACGACACGCCGCCGCTGCCGATGCCTCTGCCGCCGCCGCCGCCGCCACCACCATCGGTACTCCTGTTACCGATTCCGGCGGCGTTAACACCGGGGTTATTGACGCCGTCGCCACCACCGCCGGGGACGGTGACGATGCCGCCGAATCCGTTGCCGATTTGCTGCCTCTGCGCCATCGCCGATACCTCTTGCCGCTTTAATCCACGGAGCAACTCCTTCTGCAGAGCGCTATCGACGCCGAGGAACTAACGGATCGGGCGTGCGTGAAACATCGACACAGACATACTAATGGTGAACATATGATAACGGTCGGATACGTTTAACGTCGTAAACGTGCAACGGTGCGCAACGACATGATATTTCCGCCTACCGAGATCTCTCTGCGTGTCGAAATCGGAGAGAAAGAAAAAAAAATACGCTGTGAGAAAAATTAAAAATATCTTGTTTGAAAGCGAAGGGGGGATCGCGTTTCATCGGGGATGGTAATGCTCGCGCTAATTTTGCCAGATACTCGGTCACGCTACAAAAGCGCTCAGCAACAATGTACTCGTGCGCCAGTGAGAAAATCGGCCGTTGTCGTATACGCCTAATTATGATGGAAGAAATGAAATAGCGTGTGAGTCGCTAAACAAACGTCAGATTCGTCTACGCATTGTCGATCGCCTGTAAATGTGCCGCTCTCGTTAACGTATATGCCCGCCCGGTATATTCGTACCGTCCTTACTCTGTGCATGGTACATCGCGCAAAGCAAAATTACGAGTGTAATGTGTGGTAAGATACGGAGAAGTTCTCACCTTACGACTAAAATCCGTAAAATAGTTGTACGTCTTTAAATATGTACCCAACGACAGAACGTTGCATCTCTCGCAACTGAGCTTGCAAGTGCGCTCCATGAGTCTGAGCACGTGTAGGAAATCTTCGGCGACGTAATGGTCCTCCTCGAGGAAGAGGACCATCCCGGTGTGGTTTCTCGTCACCGAAAGTTGATCGAACACCCTGTTCGCTTTCCACCACCAATGATGCTTGGTCTGCGTGAACTTCGCCTCCCTGTAGTGGCCGTACAAGTCCGGATGTTTGGCGTTGGTGCATTTTAAATTTAAGGCCCTGCGATTCGCGAAAGAGAGGCAGAATTAAATTTAACGAATTCAAGGGTAGTCGTTCGATAGATTCGCAAATGGCGAAGACAATGTTCTCGACTTACTGTTCTTTGCGAATATTTCGCGGACAGTCGTTGGGTCCTTCGCCGGGAAATGTATGGGGATGAGTCTGTATGCTGTGCGGATAGAAGATCTGCATGACCCGGCAAAAGTCGACGCTTTGAACGAGGTAGTTGATATCCGGGTGCCAAATGTCGTGGCTAAATACGAGTAAAGCCTGCTCGATGTCCTTAGCTTGCGCCAGTGAGACGATAAGGTGGCGCAGATAAGTGAGCCGCGTGTGCACTTGGATAACTATAATTGGAGCGTCGTTGGCCAACGGCCCGAACGCCTCCTCGTTGTATACTTTTTGCTCCGCATTCGCCCGCTCGATTTTATGACGGATTTCCGTAATCTCTAAGTCCGTGAGGGCTCCCGAGCTAGAATTCACCAGGCTTGTCGATGCGTTACGTCCCTCCTTTAAAAATCTGAAAACAAAAGACCGAATGTTGGCAGAAAATGAAATAATTATCGAGGTAATTATTAACGTTATTTTCAGCAATTAAAAACTTTCCCTTAAAAGAGGTAATTTACGAATAATAGTAACACCTTATAAAAAAAAAACAGATTTGTTTAATGTAATTTTTTAAAGAAAGTAATATCAGATATATATAAAACTAAAAAATAAAAAATTATACAACATATAACACAACCTATACTTTATATATATTTTTTCAATTAAGCTCGCGCATGTCACATATCAATAACAATATTTATACTATAAATGTTGATAACGGCATTAAAGATAATTCTACGGAACTTGCAAGATTACCTGTGCAACTCTTGAGGCACGAGGGAGAAAAGCGTCTCGTTCGTTGACGATTGTCCGGAATCATCTCGACCCGTCAAACTGATCACGTGAAGCTGAAGCCAGAGGAACGTAGCCAGGAAAACAAACACGAGGGTCCTCAATAAAATTCCACGACCTGATCTCGATCCCCCAGCGACCGCCGTTCCTAAATGAACATACCTTTCGTTAAATCTTTCATTAAACGTATAATGCATTTTCGGTACTTCAACCCAATTTATATAATATTAGTTAGTATAATAAATTTCGTTAATGCGAAAATAAGTGCAACGTATTCCGGAAATCGACCTGATTTTTCATTCGACGGATTTATCGAAAAATGGCCAGACTCACTTTCCATACCTCGATCAGCCAGACTGCTTTTTTAGTAAGTTTTATGATAATGTTAAGTAGTACAAAAAGTTTCATGACTGCGAAAATAAGTGCAACTCATTTGTATTTTCCGCCCATCGAATCCAGCGGAAAATCGTAGCTAGACTGGCAATTTGTTAATTAGCATCACTAATGGAACAATCTTAAGTTTTTCTATGTGCCATGGCTCTAAGAGCTCTTTTACCGTTACGGAAGAAGTCAATTTAATGGAAAGATAAATCGTACAGACATCTGAGGTCTATCAAATCAACTGAGTTCTATCGTAACTCAAATTAAAATAATTAAAATAATTAAATCCTCTCAATTATCCTCAAATTAAAATAATTAAAATAATTACAACACTCCTAATTAAAATAAAGGAAAAAATTACTTTCACGTAGCGAGAAAACGTAAAGAGACACTGCATATCTGAATTATGCTTTATAACATGAATGTTGTATATAGCACCATTATAAACCTACCTCCCGACTTTTTCCTGGTATATAGTGTACAGCCGGGGTACTGCTTCGCAAAACCTTGTATGGTCGAGTCGTGAGCTTTTCCTGCGCATATAGATAATTGACCAGTAAACATGCGTACATGTACGACAGCGTACAGAAGTAGAACGTATCGTGCTAACTGTATGGAGTAAAGTTCTCCTTTAATTTCATGATAAACAATATATTTTTCACAACACCTCCACGGAAAGTTCGACTTTCCATGCCTGTAGAGAGGGGCGAAAGTGGCCAATTTCACGCTAGGGCTTACTTTCCTCCCTAGGGAAGAAAATTGATGCTTTTTAACCGGTACAGCGGGCGGAAAGTAACCACTATTTTAATGTTTCTAGGCGGATCGTAAAATGTATTTCCAGCTTTCCCATGAAAGTGGATTAGGTAAACGTGAATAGTCGCATTTTGCTTTGTTTATAGCCAGCAAAGTCAATAAATCCGTTCGCGGACATATTTTTTGCAAAATCAAAGATTTTAACTGACGATATAATTGGCAATTTAACATAAAAATTAAAAAATAAGCAACTTAATCGACTGACTGGCAATATATAACATCTCTTCGATGTGACCATTGAAAAAAATATGAGCCAACACGCTTTGTCAATGCTTTGTGCGATTATTAACATCTACACAGTTCAAGAAGAACCATCCTGTTAGCAGCGTCAATATAATAATCAAAACATGGCAGAAAACGGGGCATATAATGTTGAAACAGTCTGGGCCTCATTAAAAAAGTAATATTAAAGATATTTTGAATAATTTTTATTCCGGGAGAAAAGAATTAATATTCCTGTGTCGTTTTGATGCATAACCACGGAGACGACGAACGAATATACACGGGACTGAAGGGAGTCGTAACGGACCAATTTCCAGATCGCGTCGGACACGGAATAAAAGACCGGCTCCGGAACGAAATCGGATATTGATTATATATGATCATGACCCGTAATATATTATTTTCTTTACTTTAGGTTGAGTGACTTGAAAAAAGGCCGACATGATAATGCCCTATGCGTATGCAACCAAAACTCGTATTTGCATTCGTCGAATATTTAGCTGGCAAACGATCACGTCGCCTGGAGCCCGATTTTACATCTGTGAGATACGCGTACATACAAAATTAAAACAGGAATATCAGGAGTAACGTACACGTGCATCGCGCTAGGTAAACGGAGAATTGCAAATCGTGCCGCTATTTCTCAAATATTCGACGAACGCAAACATCGTCGAGTTTATATAACGAATTTTTATGTAACTCGACTGTGCATTATCATACGTAACGTTGTCACGGTATACATCATCTCATTTTACATGACGGGAGACATGTATATCGGTTTGACGCGAACACTTGTCGAGTGAACGCGTCTTTTCATGTCACTTTTACGCAGGGTGATGATATAAAAGTATCGCAAGCTGTTTTCTGGAAAATAGGATGTTAGAAATAAAATCCCCTTCTTGGTATTTTAAAATTGAAGCCTGTTATATATAGTAAGCGAGACGTTGGATCCAAGTAAAACGCAATATACCTTTCAATTCTTTAACCCGCCGTTTCTATAGCGTGGTTCGACAAATACTATAAACAGAATGTCATTTTCAGAACTGCTTTGTGCTTGTCGTTGTAAAAGAAAGTTTTAAAATAATTTTGACAATTTCATATCGGCTAAATTTAAGTCCACGAACTTAAGTCCAAATTTAAAATATATTAAAAATTTATTACGACTTAAACTTAATTTATATTAACAAGGGTTTCCACTTTAATAATTGTACAACTTAAATAACGCCGAATTAAATGGAACCGAACGTTTTTCTTTAATGTAATTGTATTTCACATACATTAACTTATCATTTTACGTGCAAAAATATCAAGGTGAGGTCAAAAGAAAATATTTTACATGATATTCTATCTACAGTATTATCTAAAATTTCCAACAAAATGTCAGATTTAATTGTCCTATTTTTCTATTAAAAAAATCCGATAACAATATCTTACTTATAAAAGATTTCAAGAAATCTTAAAACACGAAAAAGGAATTTTATATCACTAATGGTTTCCGAAAAAACAGTTTTTATTTTAAATATAGTATCCTATATAACATCCTTTTGGCCTTAGGCTATTTGTTCACTCACCTTTCATAGTGTCATTCCTAGGAGATCGTCCTGAAACAAATTTCACGTAGAGTCTTAGCGAGTCGTGTCGAAAAACTCGCAGGGCTACACAAACAATTTCAAATTACACGAGCGTATCAAAACAAGGTCCGTTGTCAAAAAGATGAAACACGTCAATTACTTTTTGAGCAAAATAAAAATGGAACTATAGATAATATTATCCCAACTCCTTATATCACTTTTATCACGATAGTTACCTCGACATTGCTCGAGAGAAAAGTTCAAAGTGTACGTTAAAACGCAAAGTACTTCGTATTTCATGTAAATGTAACAACACGCGACAACGGATTGTGCAGGAATGTGCAATGATATTGTCAGAGATTCTGCTGTGATACGTTTGAAACGCAAAAGCTCCGCGACATTTTGAACTTTTATATAATGCATCGATAACAAAGGAGAAGATCCGGCATTCAACGCGATTGTTATTCCGCTTCACAAAGAGAATTACGTAGTTTCTAAAAATTATAATTTCAGTCTCTATAATTGGCTTGTATGGTAATAAAAATTGCTGCAAACAGAGGAGGGCACGTATTATGAAACTTTTCGGAATGGATTCCGATCGGAATTGTTCAGTTAATTCTTAGATTCCTATTGTCTTTTCTAGGGAAAACGGAATAATTTCGATCGGAATTCATTCCGAAAAGTTCCATAATACGTGCCCTCTGGAATGTTTTATTTACCGGACCGCAATTAAAACCTTCACTCTATCCTCCATCATCTCCTCGTTGGTTGATTTTACCTTTCGGTGTATACCCCGTATAAAATCAGCGTTTTTCTTTCGTAAACTACATTTATGCAAGTTTTCGTAGATCGCTTATGTATATATTGGATCGAAACTGTTATTTGCACTAAATTTTCGAAACGTTCTAACTATAGCTTCGCCAAGAATATAACACTCTCATAGTAAAAATGTTTAAATACGACAAGATACAGAAACACGTTCTTTTTCACTCGGGTTTATCTATCAGCATATTTTTCAATTAAGGATATATGTATACATATATCATTAATACTTTGCACTATATGAAAAATTTCCTCTTTTTTTAACTCTTTATCAGAAATAGTAATATTAGATTAACTGGAAAATTTGCACCTCGAAAAGTTCAGCACTGTAAAATCTAAGAGAAATTCCGAGAAACTTGTGTCTTCAACTTGTGTACAAGATAATGAAAGATTCTGGATTTACGAAAGCGTAATTGTGTGCGGATTAAAATGTACCTACATAAAAAAAATATATTGTTCTTGCATTTCTTCAAAAAGTCGGAACTTTCTGGCTTAAAAATAAAATCATGGCACAAGGATTTGTACGACCGCATGCTACGGTTTAATTGTTACTAACCGACACTACATTACTGGCATCACTCGAGATAGCAATTATCACCGATTGGCCTGCCTGCAGGCAAAATATAACGTGCGTGAACATCGTCAAATTGTCACATCGCTACTGCTTATTGTCAACTAGCGCGACAATAGCGCAGATACCAGTCGCAGATAAGAAACTTGCGTAACGTTTTATCAGGTACACCCTTCTCAATCGAGCCATCACGAAGTGTGGCATGCACTGCGCGCGTTTGCATAAAGAGTTTATAACGCAATGACGGTACTCCGCGGCTGAAGATAAACGCGCGACTTCCGCGTGCTGAGATGTTTATGATAATACGTCAACGCTCGATTCACCTTTAAAGCGAAGGCAGAATGACGATACTATCTCTCTATTACCGCAGTATAATCTTTTTTCATTGTACATATATACGTATACCTATTATTTTGAATCATATGAGAAATTACATACTATCTTTCAGACTTTTATCGAGATTACCTATAATAATAATATTGGATTGAGTGTAAAAGATTCGTGTCACGCCTCGAAAAGTTTATCTTTAGGAAATGTAAGAAGTTTCAAGGAAATTGAGTAAAATTCAAATTATGTAAAAACGATAAAAGACCGTGATAGGAAATCAGGTGGATTAAAACGTACATAATATAATGATATCTTGAAAGTCGATGCAATTTTTTCGGACAATTTAAAATAAAATAGTAGCATAAGGATTCAAAGATATAAATTGCAATCTAATGCATTTTTATAGACCACCTAACTAAATTAATTAAATTATATGATTAAAAAATTCGTGATGAGGCATGATATATACCTCACCCAGCGTAGCGTTCTTCATTTGAATAATATACGAGGTAAAGATTTAAGGCATAAAATGCAAAAAAAATTGAAATGAAGAGAGCCATCGAAACGTCTCGATTAACGCTTCTATATTTAATTGGATCCGATAATTCGCCAATTATTTCTTCGGCATCTTCTCTCAATCATTTATCAATACCGGAAAAGGGGTAATCTTTTCTTCCGCGCGAACTTCAGCTGTAGATATCGCGTCGCGGATAAAATTAAAGGTGCATTCGTTTACATACATATGTGAAAATAAACGTTCGACGAGCGACGAGATCGATAAAAAGCGAGAGAGAGAGAGAGAGAGAGAGGGGGGCTCGAGATTTCGTGTGGGAAGAGAACTAGTCCGATGGTGAGCTCCGAACGAATAACTTACAGCTTTCGCGTGAAATTCCACGCGCTATCTCCTTTTCTCCCTCTCTCTGATTTAGTCGTTATATTTATCTCGCGGTGACAATAAAAAGACTCGCGGCTATGTGCAAGACATCGTTCCGCGCGTCGTTGCTCGCACGTGCGATCGTTGAATTTCGCTCGCGGATATCTTCGATCCACCTCGCTTTTCTGGCACTCGTTCAACGCCGAATTCCCTCGACCTGCTCGTTCTGCTCGAACAAGCCCGTCTCGCGATTCTATCAGATATCGTTTGACATTTCGGTCGAATGTGATAAGCGGTTTGAAAAGACCGGTTTCGAGATTTCTGCTGAAATCGATGTACCACGTCGATCATACGATACTGCATCAGTAATTACGCAACATATGAGGTGCGCCAATGTCATACTGCCTTTACTTTCTTTAGAAAATGCATGAATGTTTTTTAAAAACACGTATTCACAAACGCGTCGTTTCTTCTACATTTAAAAGATTGAAGAATTGCTATCACGAGTAATTGCAATATGCCGATATTTCGCAAGCCACATATTATCAGTTCTATTAAATTTATAAATTCCAGTCATACATCTTTTCACCTGTCTTCAAAATTTTCCCGTTCGTTTCCTTTTTCGAAAGAAAACTTGTAATACGGAGAGAAGGCAAAGAGAACGGAGAAAAGGTAAAACAAGAATCGACTAAACAAAACAATCGTATTGTATCGCCAAATACTGATACTCCGCTACTTATCGAAAGATAAATGATATCGCTAAAAAATAACAGTTATCGTGCTTGACAGACTTGTGAATAATATTATCAATTACCTCGGTGAAGAAGAATGAAGCATCGTCCGGTCCTTCATTTTCACAAAATCTGGAATATAATAACGTATAAAATGTACTCCAACGGATATATTCAAACAAAAAATACGTATTGTATAACCACATTTGCTTCTAACAAAATCTTTGAGACTGACGTACGTAGAGTTCGCGAAATAAAAGAACGGTTTCTGTACTCCTATTCTGTGTAACAGTGTAACCTTAACAATATTCTCGTCATTGTTATCAGGTTATCGTTGCGCAGGTATAATATATGGTAAAAAAAACTGCGCAACGACAATATAACGATAATGAACTGATAATTATTTATTACTTAATTATGCTTTACAACTTATGTAACAAATTATATATTTGTAGAATTATAATTAGTACATCTATTTCAGAAAAATAAGACAAAAGATAAGAAAGAAGAGAAAAACAAAATTGACTTATCTTCAAATTGTATTTGTACTCATATCAACCGATTTATCTAAAAAATGGATCTGAATAATAAGTCTATATAGAAATTAATAGGAAAATTAAATTATCGATCTCGTTATCGCGATTGAAATGCGTATCTATTCATTCTAGGAAGATATATCAATGTCGCACATTACACTTAAGTGGAAAATGTATAGCGTTGTGTATATAATACGATACGGACAGATGTGAAATTAAAACTATGTTACGAGCTGCATACGAGCTGGCCTTACGATATCGATCCGATACCGTTCCGCTTAAACGAGTCTTTAGATTGCAGCCTTTACAAACGCAACAGTATCTGTATAATACGCATTAGTGCGGCTTATGAATGAACCTGATTATGTCACACTGCACTCTCGACCCCCAAAGTGGCCCATTGAAAGAAAAGTACTCGAAATGTTTTTATCTCGCATAATAGCTTGTCATATTAATTTTTCCCAGCTGCTCACTGGATTATCGTAGAGAGGAGGGAAGAGGGAATAAGCAAAATTACATTATCGCATGTCCACATGCCCCAATTTTGTTAAGTGACGTAATTAATTATATTAATTGCCTTTCGCTTATCTTGCAACATATGGAGCAAAGTAAAAGATTGTGCTGAAACTTCTGTTTCATTATCTCACTGCAGAGATATTTTTATCCCTTCATTATGTGTGTACAAATGGTCATGAATGAGTTCCTTTTTAAATAGGTAACGTGTTATTACATATATATATATATATGTGTGTAATAAAATTGCTTTCTATTTAAGTACTTAACTACACATTATAACGCTTATATTTTTGCTGAAATTTTGTTCATATCCTTCTAAAAGAATAATTAAAATAATTTTAGTAAAATATCTTTATCTTTCATTATGAGTCAACTTGTGACTCATTTTTTGAGAATAATGTTCGTTATCTTTAAGTAACCTCCATTTATATTATCGCACATATTATTATAAGAGAATTTTGCTGAAATGTTTTCTCATGGTCTTTCCAGAAAATATTTTTACAAATATACCTATTAAATTCGTAGAAAAATAAGAAAAACACTTAGTAAGTTTTTAAACAATTAGCTGTGTAGAATTAAAATAAGTGCATTGCAGCAATATTAGCCAGAAAATTGTTTTCGTTAAATCGTGGACGCGAATCAATTGAAATGGAAGATAGATTAGTTCAACCTTGTTTTGAATTTTCTTATAGTGAATGCCGAACTTGACCGTGACTTTGTTCACACATTTCCTTTTCATGTAAAATTCAAAGTACTTTATCTTACTACAAATATATGACAGAAAAATGAAAGACTCTGAAAAAGATATAATTAAATTTCTTTAAGAGAAAAATTCTAAATCAGATAAGCAACTCGCAGATCGAAGACGTAGGAATGCTCCAAATATGCGGACAAAGGAAGAAGCGCAGAGAGCGAATCTCTCTCTCAGGTCGTCTTCCACCGATTCCTGCCGAACGCGGTTTAATTACGGACGCGCGGTATAGTAATGAGATTGTGAACGTACCATTGCATGTGCTGATCGAGACGACGACCGGAAATTTGAGTCCTTTCTTATTCGTGGATGCGTCCCTCGCTCGAACGCTTTTGACGGACGGGTGCACCGTCTATTTCTGCGTTTCTCGGAGAAGATGCTATAGTTGTTATCGCGCCGCGCATGGCGTCGGTACTGTTGGTCGCCGGTGAATAATGCAACGGATCGTCATGTGTACGCATATATCGGCGAGGCGTGTATGCTGTCGTGTACACATAAGGGAAGAGGTAATAGGTGTTCATCGATATGTGCCTCCACTATACGCGAAGCATACGTGTGCGTTCGTAGGTGCACGTGTGGGCTCGTGTGTGCGGTTATACTCTATGCGGTAATATTGCCGCGGTGTCCCTGAATATCGATTCACCGGTATATCAGTAAACGTAAGGTATGCGGCGTCTCTTTTTTTTTACAATCCGACATTCTCATAATCACTTAATCATTTCCTCGATGGATATTGCGACGAGGAAGGAATAATCGCATTACGCGACTCGTTACAAGTGTTCTTAACATTAACAACATTTGCACAAATTAAAAGAACTAGGCTGCGCAAATATGTGATCTATATGAAATATGGAATTTTAATCTATGTTAAATAGTGCCGAATGGGTGCGACGCAAGGTTTTTTCATCGTATATTATTTCGCAGAATTATAAACACGTGTCTCATAACTGCCGTAATTATTTTTTCGCTCGACTTTACACGTTACGTTAAATCGCAAGAACCGGATAACTCTATGAGGTTTTGAGGCACCAACAACTTTTTTTGGCAATTCGGCCATTCTTGCAAATCATGGAGAGTTTTTAACTTTCTCTCTCGTGGTTTCCACCAGAAAAATCTCACTTTTCACACTAATTCGCGATCACGAAACTCCAAGAGAACTTGCGTAATATCATGTTTCACAGATATAGCCTATGCTTATATAGACGTTTATATAGTAAGTGATTCACTCTCTCAAGTCACTCCATGTAATATTACCGGAGATCTGTATATCCACGTTACTGAAACGTTTCCATATCATATCGCGAGGATTCAGGCAACTGAGATAAAACATTATCACACTTGGCAGAGATCAGAAATATGATATACACTTGATAAAATAACCGTAACAATACAATAGATGTGAAATATATTTTGACGAGATATGCCGCACGTTTTACAATCAATTAGAGTTTGACCCACTTATCACGCGCTGAAAAAAATTGATAAGCGTCGTCGAGTAAAAAAATTACTAGTAAAATATTTACTAGTAAAACATTTACTACTAATATTTAAAAATAAGATCTTTTTTTAAATATCTGAGATATCGATATCTCGTAAACTCAATTCTATCTTACAAATTACGAAATTATTCGCACGGCAAAATTATCATAAATTATTTTATTTCCTCTCCCTTATAGATTTCGAGAAAAAGAGTATATCAGACATACATCACGATTCATTGGTCGTACGTTCAATAAAATACCCGTAACAGTATAATAGAATAAAATGAATTCTGAAGAGATATGTCACCGTTTTACGACCAATTGAAGCTTACTCCGCTTATTGTGTGCTAAAGAAGGATCGATAAGTATCGTTGAATAAAACATTTACTAATGTTAAGGGGAATAAGATTCTTTTTCAAACAACTAGGATACCAACACTTCGATAACGCCGATTCTATCTCATAAATTACGAAATTTTTTACACGGAAATATTATCACAAATTATTTCATTTCTTCTCTCTAGGTCTAAAGAAAAAGAGTATATTAGACATACACGGTTCATTGATCGTGCATCCAACAAAACCTGTAACAGTATGATAAGAATAAAGTGAATTTTGAAGAAATATGCCACGATTAATTACTCCATTTGTTGTGTGCTAAAGAAGGATCACTAAGCGTTGTTTAAAGAAACCGTTCGCATTCAAAAGAAAATGCAGACAAGGATACACACATCCAACAATACCACCGACACTCGTATTCCCGTCAAGTGTTTTACCGTCATTTACCGCATCCCAGGCGTGCTATCTGTGAAAAATCGTTACACACGTTTCGGTTACAAGACGCTGCCGATGTTTCGTGCTGCGTATGCGCGCGCATGTGTAGATACACCGGATAAATGAGATTGCATTCGATGATATTCGATGACATTCGCGTCGAGAGTGCATAAGATCTGGTCTCGACGAAAAAAATGCTATTTTCTAATGAGTTTCTCAATCGCGGATTGAGACTACGAGATTTTCCTCGCTCTTTCGAGACGAGACCGTAGAATCGCGATGTCTCGCCCGAGGATCATCGATCATCGCCCTTTACTCCCGTGGATTATTTATCTCTATGGAAAAGAGGGGCAGGAATGCCGTGTATACAAATCATTATCGCACGCTGCGTGGTTACCGCCCACCCGCCATATTACCAGAAAATCTCGGCTTAATGACATTCCTGACGTTCGCTTCCACGCCACGTTTATCGCGATATTGGCCACGTGTGTGCATGATTGCCGAATAACAAATCAAAATTTCATTTCCTGAATCATAGATAATATTATATAACAGTCACACGTGCAATATGTAACATCATAATGTTTTATTAATGCTATACATTTATTCTCGGCTCTAAGTAATTTTCTCTGAAAATATTTGGTGTTACATATTAATCATCTAAAAATTACAGAGTATTTAAAAGTCGGAATATTAAATATTTTCAGAACATATTCTTTTCACTAAAAACACATCATTGTTAACAATAAAACGTTCGCAGATTAAATAACTGACTGAATCAAAATTCTGATTAATATTAATTATAATTAGTTTCTTAACAAATAAGAATATATAAATAAAAGTCTAAAGATGATACCTTAAATCAAAAAGTATATAAAGTCAAAGTTTCATGAAATATTCCGAAGGGCTATTAGTGAGCTCTTAAATAGGAAAAGCAGTCGAAGTTAATCGAAGTAATCAAACTTAAGTGAAGTAAATCGAAGTATAATCGTAGTTGAAGAGTAGCACTGGGTTGCAGTTGCAGTTATCTCGGCGCAGAAATCTCGTAGGAAACGACCGACCGGCAACGGCAGCTGGTTATAAAACTCGTATCGTGTGTTTTTTTTCCCCCGACCGGACCCAGACCGGCATCCAGATCGACGCAAACAAATAATTAGTTTCTCAGCCTCATCGTCGCATGGGACCGGAAGTTACACGCACGATGCGGTTAACGGCAGGACAAGATTGCGGTATTAGCGATACCGAGCGAGAAAACGGCCGCCAGCGATCGAGGACCGAAAGAAACAAAATATCCATCCGCTCGTTCCTTGTTATACCGCACTTTCCGGCTTTTCGCATATCTTACGATTCTCGGAAACTGCCGTCAATGTATCATGCTCCCGCCGAGAGTGCATGCAAATCGAAAAGCGCAAGGACGGATATTCCCCGACCGTGAAAAACCGGCACTGGCAGCGGAGAAAAGGAACAATCCGTGACGAGCGCGAGACCTGCTCTAGTGCGCGCAATGCGTCGTAATTATATGCGGTGATGTAACCGGAGTATCGTGACTTGTAACATCGATTTCTATTACGTATCATTATGTACGATCAACGGAATAATTTCCAACGTCATAATTGATTATTCATGCTCTCGGAATATAGATACGACGCTCGCTTTGCTATGGAGGAAAAACGACGAGAGGGAAAATGTAAAAATCGAAAATGTGATATTAAATAATTTTCGACTCGTGTGACGTTGCGATTATGACGTTACGCCGATATCAAAATAATATATCGCGTGACAAAATAACGTAGCGTAGAGTAAAGTAATTTTTAGAATCTATTAATAAGGGAAGCGCCGCGCGGTTTATTCACCGCGGTAGAATCAGGATGTTGGATAACGATGCGACACAATGCGGAGCTACGTATAAAGTGTTTGCCAGCAGGCGCATTCTACCAACAGCATATATAGTCTTTCCTTACGAGAACTGAAATAATATTGTATTTTATCCAAGTTTCATTCACTATTTTGCTCAAAGTTTATACATTTTTAATTCAATATTTTTACAGCTAAGCCTTTAATTACATATTACTCTGTATATTTTAATAAATTTTGCTAAAGAATAAACTGAAAAATATTTGTTTCTCTTGATTCAACTTTTTATCGTTTTTTTTTAAAGCTTAATTCTCTAAAGTTCTATTTTATTAATCGCTCTTAACTCGATAACTTTTTATTTTGACGTTTATGCTAGGAAAAAAAGTATCTTAATTTCCACACGAAACGCTTTGTTCATCAAGTGCGGTTATTATCATAGATATTCTAAATAAATATCATTTATATTCGCACTGTAAGGAGTTTCTAATTTAAATGAGGTGTTGAAAGAAGCGTTAATGAAAGTGGCTGTATCGTACAGTGCTAATGAATGTTAACGATTCCATTCTCGCCCACATGCCGTTCATTAACGTTTCGTTTTATTTTTGAGACGATAAAGTTCTTAAGCGTCAAACTAATTTAAGAAACTTGCAATGTATTTATGCACAATTTTATCATTTTATACACATCGACAAGATAAATGATGCATAATCTTATAAATGTCAGTTATTTATTTGTCTCCGTGAATAGTGATGATTTTCCGCGTTCGATTTTCAACGGCATAAATCGACGTTAATCGATCGCGTGCGAAGAGTTGCGCAATAAATTCTAGCCTCGCTACTCCGCCTTCTTCGCCTATTCGCCATCAAAATCTAAAAATATTAACAAGCGCGCTTCGCTCGATCTCGCTTGGATAAACGTGTCTGGCAGGTTCCTATATGTTGACGAAGACTTCAATCTTGTTCCGCGAAATAGCAATTTCTTGCCGTACCATTTACCGTAATGTGTCTTTATTGATACGAAGAGAAATATTTTGAAAAATATTCTATTGATTTTTTGAGACTATTGCTTATTAATTCAACAAGTTGTCGTATTTTTAAACTAATGTCTGCGGAGAAACGACCGATTTGAAATCGTTTTCTTTTCGGCATGCTGTTACGATTGGTGGCAAAATTCCAAAAACCGCAATTCTCTCCTACAGTGAATGACAATTTATATTAGAAATTGACTTTCGTTTCTCTAGCTTTAATTGAGAACATAACAATATTATATAAATACTTTATATGAATTATAAATTACGAACAATATTGTATGAATACATTATCTTCGAAAGAATTCTATTCTTTTCTATCCAAAATTATTTCAACGTTGAATCCAAGCTTAACAATTCATGTTTAATAAATCAATATTTTCCCATGATAACCTGTGTGTGGTTTCCACCTTTAGGAAACTAAAGTAAGACTATATCTTGAAAAACCTTGAGTACTTTCAGCTCTCTTTAACCTTTTTCTTTTAGGGTAAAATGGTTTAGGCCAAAGGTTACTTTCAGGTAAGTTTAAGTATGTTGTAAAATAAGATAAAGCTATATCTTGAAACATCTTCTAAGTTCATAAATTATCTTACTGCAAGTATTCATGAAAATTCTCCTGTCGCAAAAAAATTTCTCTTGAAATTAAATAAATTTAAGATTTTGTTATCTACGTACTCCTAAAATTAATATCGGAAAAACCAAAAAGTAGCATCTACTTTATCAAGTAGATAAGCTATGCGAATTGGGACATCCTATGTATATCAAGAAATTAGTAAATGAATATAAATATCTCTGTTGAATTATTCAGTAATTTTATCTTTAGTAAACTCTAAACTTCCTGCATATCTTTCTTCTCATTGTCAGTTAATTGTCTCTAAAAGATGCGAAAGAATTAAAATTAAACGACGCAAATGAAACCGATTCCAAGCCGACATTCGCCGGGTTAAAAAAATCCCAATATCCGATCGCGTGAGAACGCGAAGCCTCTTATCAGAAATAGAAACGAAAACGGTACCATTTCAGCAAGTTGACTTTTCGAAAGCAACAGATACGCGACCTCACATCGCGGCTGTCGCGTCTCGGCTTTCACGGGCATAGTTCCTCGCGTGTCCATGCCACTGAAATCCGAGCTCGACGAAACTATACTCGGTTTCAATCTCTTTCCTTTGCCCTCCTCCCTCCCTCCCTCCCTCCCTCGTATATGTTACAAACCCTTCTTATCAGCGTTAGAGCAATATCGATCGTCCACGCCGTACCGGAGCGTAACACCCAGAGCGACACTGCACACAATGCGGCGCGGATCCGCTCCTCGTGCGTCTCCTCGTGCGTGCACGCGCAACAAAATGCATCACTCTTGACGTCGTA